CGGTCCGAAGGCAGGAGCCTTCTAGTGTGACTTCGCATAGTTAAAATAAAAAAAAAAGGATCCTCTCGTCCTAGACAATAGCCACGTCTGCCACTAGATAAGTGATCCTTATTCCCCTCTTGCCGTCCCATGTAAAGTTGGCTGTCCGGGCCTCGCTTAGCATAAAGTACTACTATGATCAGTAGACTCGAACCGGAATTACTTATAGCGAATACATTTGCTCAGTAGTTGAAATGGGACCTATCGCTAAGCGCTGCGTAAGTCTGCCCTGGTCGGCACGACATCTCAATCGCTTCCCTATCGCGTGTCGCAGTCCCATAGAGAGGTGACAAAATGGCGCCAAGCGATTGTAACTTTTTAGCAGATCCGCGACATTCGACATCGACAGGCCGCTGGAGTAATGGCGTGTTCGGGCTTGACGAAAACAGTTAACTAAAAACAAATGTTTCTATAAGTGAATCATACATGTGTCGAGCTTTCTTTCTGCTCCCCGCTAGCGAACTGTGGAAAAAGTACAACAGAAGCATATCACGAAAATACGTATGAAAGAATTAAGATATCGCATAAAAGTACACACGAAAGCAGACCCGTTAGTCTGAACGCGCGCAATGTTCGTGAGGGATTTTTTTTATTTTTAGAAATTTTGCGTTAACAAACGCACTCCCAAACTCCAATATCCTTTCAAGTCAGGTTTATGTAATTTTTCCACGGAACCATAAAACCTTGTTTTTAATCCGTCTCGTCTATCTTCCGTGATTAGTCAGACGCGGTCGGTGATTTCAAGATGTCGACTGACTTAGCAATTTCACCATGTAGAAGGCCTCAAAAGGACCAAGTTGGAACAGGCCAGAAAGTTTAGAAACGTTATGTTTAGCTTATTGTGTACGCTATTCAACGTTAGAAGCACTTTGCTGTGCTGTAATGGTCGAGGCACCGCAAAGCACTTTGACTTGTTTCATCGATTGAAGCTAACCGGCCGCCCCCTAACAGAAGCACTATTATTCGACCACGGCTTAGTCCGACGTCGCTGCTAAAGTATGGACAAACCGGTCTTAAACGATTTCGTTGACGGCGCACTAAACTGGCATTACGCGAGGCTACAGTCGGCACCTAAAGAGCCTTCGTCAGGTCTTCCGTCGGCCACCGGGCGAACACGGTCGACTGCCGTTTCTCTGCGTATAGATGCAACACAGGCGAAATTCATATGCTTATAGGGGCGCATGTCCAAAGTGCAGTTGGAGCAAAGACGGCCTACTGTGCTTTCTGTCCGATAGAAGCGCGCTGAAGAAACAGCGACATGGACGAAAAAACTAAACAATTAAAAGAAAAACGCCAGTCCATATTCGCGCAAAGAGCTCTGTAAACATATTTCTTATGCCAAAACTGATCGTCCTGTACGGATGCAACAGCGGTAGTTGAAGTAACTTCTGATCCAAGCAGGTACCGTTAATAATGACAATAATAAATGGTGATGGGTTTTCTGATGACGTTTGGAGATCACAATAAAAAAAACGAATGTTGTTGCGTCAATCGGGGCCGGGCTTCAACTTAAGCTCGACCAGAGATTTAAACAGCATGAAGCTGCTGTTCCACGACAAAGCCGAAGGTGCTGATGAGCAAGGTAAATATAATATCTGAGGTGTTGGTTACCGAAACTGAATCACTCCTTTCGGTTACTAGGACTGATTCGTGCGGATAATAAAATAGGAAAATAATCAAATTGTAACAGATATGAACTCCGCATTAAGTAGAAGGCGAACTTGAAGCTTAACAACGAAATACAGCCAGACCGGATACATTTTCGGTTAGTCCTCCCAACCCGTCAGCGTTCGAAAGGTGAAATGTTGTTGGCCGTGAGACTCAAAGGTGGATACGACAGAAATGAGTCCTTGATGAAACAGAAAAAGCACTGAATCAGATCCGGTAAAAGGTAGGCACTTCTGCAGCAACGGATGAAACACGTCAACTGTCCCTAAGTAAATTCGATTTCGATTATATGATCGACCGGTATTAGTACCTTGGCCAGTGGCAGTCAACATGGGTCTAGCCGAATTCTTGGGGGTGTCAAACGGCGGCTTCCAGAAGACGATATTTACAGATGTCCAGTTTAAACACGCGTGTATGTGTACGTCATACTGATGTTTATCCTTTTTAAGGAATCGCTGAAATGACCAAAACCATCGTTTACCAATAACGTGCTTGTTTTAGTCGTCCACTACTGATTTAGCTTCTTTCTAATCCCGTGGCTTTTGTCCATAGCGAAACTAGTTTTGATCGCGGCTCTAACGATAACAGTGTCGGGAACCCGCAAAACTGAATTAAGCAGACGAAGATGGTGTGCAGAATGCGCGACTTCGATGCGCTTCAGGGGACGAAGCTAGTAGCTTCAGCTAGCGATTGACGTACAAAGGAAGACCGAACAAGTTCTGTCTCTTCCTTCGACGATTTTTATGAAGACATCGTCATTCGGAGAGTATGAACGCTTTATCTGTCCGCAAACACGAAGGCATTTCTCTGAAATCACCACGAGCTTGGCCAGCGAGAGGCTCGATTGTGCAGGTAACGTCCTTAATCCTATTCGGGCTCCAGATAAAGAGTTGGCAAGCACATTCGGGTTGAACGTGTTGACGGTATCGAACGCCTTCGACAAACATTTCGGTGAACACCTACGGGCCGATAGCCAGTAACGAGGGGAGCTGGCTCGCAGAGAACACTCATTTAAGCAGTTTTGTTGTCGTTGTTCAACTACCTTGATTTTCTTTACCTTGACAAGCGGGCATGTAGATACATTTGGAACTTTCTACTGTACGATGTAAGCTCAAGCAAAAACAAACATCGTAAACAGCTACACTGTAACCCGCACATAACTCTCAGAGCTATATTAATAAACAAATATTGTAGCAATTCGTTGCCTACCTTGTTTCACTGATAGTTAGCATTGTCTACTACCACTGAACAGATGCCCGTGAATGGTTTCTCGCGGCGAAACACAACTCTCGGATGCCCACACTCGAGTTTACCATTGTACTCTTTCTTTGTAGCTACATATTATGTTACAAGTACGGGACGTTGGGGTGTGATAAAATAACAAACATCTGACGCCAGACAAGATTATTGAAATGACAACCGTAATTGGTTGTGGCAGGGAGGCCAGTTCTGAGTATTTCATCAATAACACTGCTTTCATGCCTGTACTTCCAAATTAACGAAAATAGGTTTCGTATTTTTAATCGTAACTTTTTCCGTTGAAGAATTTCAACGGCCATTATGAAGTGTTAGTGCGCCATAGCTCAGAGCGGGATGCCACCGGGGGGTCCAGTCAATCGCTAAATAAGCTTGTCCGAGTTCTAGCACTATACCTGCATTATAGTACGGCTTAACAGCAGCAGCACCCCTTAAGATTCAGGGGGGAGGCGATGTGGAGAAAAACATCGAATCAGTTGTTGTTGTTGTTGTTGTTGTTGACGTTTTTCGTAATCGATTTTGTTTGTGTTTCATGCTTGTGTATGTGTACCAACGTCAGGGCCTTTCTGCCTGCCCTGTGACTCTCAGTCCATTTCTCGCATACAGTGCGTAGTGGTTCGGACCTAACTGACATATATATTTATGAATGCAGCTGCTGTCGGTCGAAATATTCATTTAACGCCGCGTTAACATTGTCCATTAAAGACATTTAGATAAGGTACTGGTCCATTGTCGCCGTTAAGACGCCTTCTACAGATTATAATAGTTGTACTACAGAAAGACGCAAAGGGGGCTGATATATATATTTTTTTGCATATAATCTTTGTATAATCTGTGTACAGCGAGCGATCAATAGAAACAACGGCGACAATAGCAAACGTCGGATCAACGTACGCCGGTTCGCGCAGGCACAACGAGCCAGAACATGGCTAGAAAGAAGCTGTTAGGATAATTGATTGATACCAAAGCTTTGCCTTAGTAAGCGATTTGTTTGCGGCCAGTGAGTTGACGTGATAACAAAATAGACGAAAAAGAAAGAATAACTAAAAATAGTTGGCCCGAACCAAACCCGACGGGTGGGTGAAAATCAGTGGTAGAATTCATTAACAGCACGGATTATTGCTATCAAAATAATCCAATAGTACAAACTACGGCCATAAAATCAATGTGGCAGTATTACATTACCATTATGCATCGTGAACTGCGGGAATCTATGGGATAGAAGTTCTGCTGTGGCGCTGGCATAGTGTTCTTTTCGAAGTTAGCGAATAGGTTCAGACATTTAGCTGGTACACTTGTTTCGGTAGGCTTATTCTGGCTTACTTGACTATTTGGGTAGATAGTTACTCAGGCCATGCTGGACTGCTAGTACGGCGAATTGACTCAAGGCAAATTTACTAGATAGATTGCTGTTAGTAAAATTAGCATACAATTTCTACCGAGATAGATATGGCTGAACAGCTACATTCTCTTTTCGAGGACTGTATTATAGTTCGCAAGAGTTGGGTAGTAAGCGTTACACTCTAGAACCGACGTTGTTCTTAAGTTTTGTCGAATTTCGGCCTCTTCTCTATTTCTATTTCGATACGATTCGTCGTAACGCTTATTTGTTCCCATTCGGTGGAGTGTCTATAGGACACAGTCGAACAGCCGCAGTGGGCTTTTTGCCCAACCTGAGACTCGGCTTCAACTCGCAGAAGGCCCATTAATTTTGGTGCGCCCTTATGACTGTCATCGAAATAATTATTTAACGTAATCGGCAAATGTTCTCCAGAAAAAGGCCATCAGTGGGACGGTCACTTCCGAGCAAGTAAAGGGGTTTTCAATGGAACCTCTACGAGTAACCTAGAATTTTGTCAACTCGAATTTCGTTGCTTGGACTGGAAGCTGGTTAAGCAGTTGAATATTGAATACCCACTAGTTTAGATTATATTTTTTCAAGTTGACCTATTTATAAGTCTATATATAACTGTATACGATGCATTTTGTCATTTCATTCAGTGTTGATGAAATGTGGCAATCTATCGGATACTCACGTCCTGAAAGTCCACCATATCTCCGGGTGGTCTAACTCCAGTCTTCCTGTACTGCTGCACGGGCGATGGTACGGCCGTCACTGTAGCCAGCATCTTGCGTGCTGACGTTGATCTGACGTTAGTAAGGACGATCTGGCGCTCGGCCTCCGGCACCGTCCTAGACAAGGCCGTTTGCCAGACGCGCCTGCCTCCAAGCGCGCTGTCCTTCTCGTTCACTCCGTTTTGTTATGCAAACACTACACAAAGCACCGAATCCGATGAACAGAACTAGAACCCACCCTTCTGATGGACGATCGGCCAGAGAAAGTCCTATGCGGTGATTGTTTCGCTCCCGACTAGCTGTTCGCTACATCAGCATTTCACAATAACGCGACGTATCCATCCCGAACAGGTTTGTTTCTTCGTTGTCTCTAACCGAAAAATCGTCCGTATTAAAGCAGCCCGCCTGCACCAATCCTCTTCTCTTCGGTGTCCTTCTTTCAGCCTTTGTTTCCGTGCTCTTTCTAAAGCGCTATATTGTATACGTTCTTGCGTCTAATTTAGTTTCCTATACACAGTTTAATAAAGCTCAGCCGCTAGTAGTCAAGACACCTAGGGCTTTTTTGAATCTTGAACACTTAGCTGCTGCTATAGGCCGAAACTAGCATTGACACTTCATTCACTGGCGAGCGTCAAATCACTAAATAGAACTATACACCTCTGAATTTGGTAGCCGTTTCCTAGCTACGACAGGCCCAACTTCTTCTACACGGCGGTGTCTACTCTTGCCAGAGCAGTACGACTTCCACCCACCAGTGCCCATACAGAGATCACTCGCACATGCACAGATCATCAATGAGGTTTTTGTTTCTCTGCAAACGCGTCACGAGGTGGTTCCTCTAATTCTTAGAGGCTAATCACAGTTGAAGCACGATCGGTGCATGGCCTAGCTACGAAGATACGTATACCGTTTGTGTGTTGTAATCTGTAACCCCAAATAGATCAACCAAATCAATGTAGCGGGATTGCGTGTTCCGGCCGTGCGTTCCGCACAACAACGTCGTTACAACTGACGGCCCTGTGTTAGCCAGGGGGAGGGCTTAAGAGGAGGTGCTTGCGTGACTCCGCCTTTAAGCGATCGCAGCGCCTCACCTCCTCTCTTGTCGAAATGGCGGCCGCTGCAGACGCCAGGAGAAACGGCCAGCCAAACACCTATTCACCCACCCCCAAGTTGCGGCAATAGGCCTTCCCTCGCGCTTCTCTTCTCGCACAGAAGAGCTTCATCCGGCCAGAGCAGCACCACCAGCAGCAGCGGTATCGGCCGCCGTAGCCGACGTAGTCGCCGAGCCATCGGCGCAGCCACAACCTGTATGGATGGACTCCCGAATCCCCACTGGAATTGTGAGCGGGCGAACGGGTCCGGCCGGTCCGCTTGTTTCCGAGGTTGCTGCAATAACGACATGAACCCCCCACCGTTAGGTCCGCGGCGGCAGAAGCTCTAGCGGCACGACATGAGCTCTCACATCTTCTCCTTGTCGCTATCCGATGGAATAGGCCTTGGAATGGTCCCCTCTAGGCGAGCTGCTCATCACTGTCATAAGTTCCGAGATCTACTAGTGGTGGTAACAGTGACAGCAGAAAGGTAGAGATAAGCATGCAGATCTACTTCGAAGACAACAAACGACTAAAAGGATAAACCAAAAGAGCCAGCGACATCATCGGTAGAGGGTGGACAGCCGATAGTGCCCATGGGCGCTAGCGGGGCAAGCGTCCTGCTGACATTGGTTGTCCATGAGGAGTTCCTCGTCGCCACACAAATCCCGCCAAAGAGTCGACGGGCTAACATCGAGCTCAGCAGGGCCAAGAGTTTGGGACATGACGCATCTCGTTCTATGACGTTTCCACAGATCAAGGTACTGACAGATATTCGTGCAGCCGTCAACAGTCACTCTGACAGCCTTCAGCAAGACAGCGCCATAAATTTAACTAAACACTCATCCGCTACTCAATATACAGTATACTTAGATGCTGTACATACCTGTCGAATAATTTTGCTAATATTTTGAAGGGACACATTGTCAGCTAGACAAATCAGGCTGCACTCCAGTTCGAAAAGGGCTTCCTTAAAGGTGGCCTTTATTTTGTAGACTTTTTTTTGTAACGAAAATTTTGCCTAGACAAACAAGTACGTTTTCTGAGTTGACATATCAGCCGTTCGTTGGCATCAATGTGCGCGCTTAATCCGAGTCGGAAGGCAATTGCTAGAAGGAATGGGTATAAAAATGAGAATAAGGCTGGCTTTCTCTATTGTTTTACGTTCTATGCAATAAAGATACTTATTCGTATCCTCAAGAAGTACTATATAGAAAAAATCCCACATAATAACTTATCGAGTACATTTGAGTATGTAAACCAGCATAGTTTTTAACTGACTAATAGCGTATTTATATTTGCTTTGATATAATCCTATTCGCTTAAGTTGTCAAGATAGGTACCACAGCCAAAATAGAACGTGTAAGTTAATCGAAAAGCTGGACTTTTCACCCATATTTAGTAGCCTGTTAGTTCGATATTTAAACTTCGCCAGCAACTGTGGCGTTCTCGGAAGCGTTCGTAGAACGAGTTAGTACATTGATTCGTTCGTTCTCTAAGGCGTGCTAAGGCTTTCTGAGGACTAAAAAACATGCGAGCATTGTAAAGCACCATTAAAAACGTGAAGTCAATGTTATGATTGCTTACGATAATATTATATTATTACGATATTATTATAGCTTATTTAAAATGAATGAAATTAATTTTATGATATATTTTTTTGATCTTGGGATTTTACGTACCTCTGGGATTCTCAAAGGAGCTTCGCAAGCAACAGTTGATTCGCTTGACTTAGTCCTACTTAGCGATAAGGTAAATTCATGGCCGAATTAATAATGATACTTTTTTATACGAGAAAACCCTGATAAATATCAAGTACATGGGAAAACACATATCTGTTGGTTTAACACTTTAGAAGGTGGAACAATTAAGCAATTTCTGGCATCGTCCAAGTCGTCGGAAAGCCGATGGCCTATGAGTTGGTAAGTCTCGTTTCAAAAAGTTGTCATAAGTCAAATCTTCAACTATCGAATAAAAGTAATCATAAATGTTCCTTCTGTGCATATTTCAAAGACGTAACTTTGAACAAAGACCGCGAACGTTTAATCACCTATACAAAAAAGTGAGCGAAAAGTTGAGATGCTGACATATATGCATAAAAGTGGAACTGTCCGCGGAAAGTAGATACCTGCCTTCCATGCTATCCTAGTATGACCTTGACTAAACGTCGATTACTTTTTGCGGTTAACAAACAATCCGATCTCTTCCATCTAGCAGATAACATTGTAAGGCTGCTTTTTTACAAATATAAGCTAGCCAGTGAAGCTTTCAATCGATTTAGTACGTCTAAAAAGATCGAAAGTATAGTCTCTATTGTGTTGGGTACCCATACGTATACTGCTTTTTCTTCGCCAAATCTCTGCTCTCTGCTGGCAGTCTGAATAATAGTGCGTTATATATTACGGCACGCGAACATGGTTACAAGCAAGCCAGGAGACCAACACAGATACGTTTACTGATACCCCTATATGGACTTGCTACACCCCTCATTTCCCCCCGCGCCCCAGCAAGCTTACGCGCGGTCCGTGCGCTGTGGGCCACTGCTGACCATTAATTAACGTTAGCTTTGCTGCTGTTGTGAACAAACGACCTTAGTTCAAACGTCAGGTCTGTGCTATAATATAATAATAGCAATATAGCAGCAGTGGTTGTCGCGTCTCTGGCCGTAACAATTTTCATAGCCAGCATTACGATACGCCCGCAATAGTACAGCTCAGACAAGCTACCGCACTGCAGAAGCCGTGCGCTCGTATACTTTGGCATTTAATGTTTCTAGTTGCGAATTTGACGGGCAGTTACTGCCGCACCTGACCTGGCGTTCTCCACATCCACGTTGCTATGAGATGTGGCCTGGCAGAAAAGGCACCCTTGGCTGAGGGAAAGCTGCAAAGTGATGCTACTTTACGCGGAGCGCTGGGTCATTTCTGGGGAAGGCAATCCTCAACGCGCTTGATGTGCCCATAAGCCGGTGTCTTTGGTCGTTGGTCAGAGCACGGATCACCGAATAGCGTTAGAGGGACGGGCTTAAGCCGTGTATTACCAACAATGAATCTCAGAAAAAGGCGGAAAAGAAGGTCATCCATGCCGAGGGCCGCTTTACAGCCGCCTACGAAGACCGCAACCCCTAGCTGCAGCGCCCGTTGACAACAATAGCTACCGCAGCGCCAGCAACGGCTCACTTGCCAAGGCTCAGTAAAATATGTTGATCGCACGAACCTATACTAATCAAATGCTATGCCTCTACGGGGTTTCTGCGAGCACAGGATTCCTGGAAAACGAAAACTAGTCAATGGTCGAAGGACAATTTCGAACAGCAGATATATTGACCTAGTACACACATATATATATACGCCAATTTCACGCTAGAGGACAGAACTTGATGAAATGACGCACTCAGACGCACCACTATCGGTCTCGGAAACACTCGCGCTACTGACTCAGAGTAGATGATAGAGGTAGAGGCAAAACTGTAAGTTTGTCTATACTAGCTAGTTCTTTTTGGAAGTTGCTGGGGCCTCTATGCAAATATGAACTACCCGTTGCATAGAGTGCCTCCAAATCCAGCCGTCTTCCCGAGCTAAAAGCACATGATCTGTACTCTAGTCTGACCTCGTGCGGCCGAATTTGGCTGCTAGCCGCGTTAAGATCCTGGCTCGACTCCGTACTACAACATCCTCGGCAAGTTAATTGCTTACCTCGCGGACAATTCGGTTCCAGCTATATGTTGACGCGTCCAGTAGCAGCGGCGATGTACTGACATTGGCATGCTTGACGTTGAAACCGAATAGAAATCGTCGGTCCTCCAACACATACAGACCGCTTTATACCTATGTGTACATTGTAAAACTTCGTTGCTTGGCGTGGTGTTCCTCATAGAAGCCGTCCCAATAAACAGGCCGTGAACTCATTCCATGTTTGTCTATAGCCGATTTAAACCAGTATTTAACTAAACGCGGTTAAAAGCCGTAGGCACTCTTGAACAGCCTCGAGCGTCGACTCAAGTTAGACTACGAATACATTCAGACGTCGAAGGCTGCCTTCGACGTCTGAATCCATTGCCAAGTTTTCAAAGCGAAGTGGTAAATTTGGTAGCAGCGCGACTTTCCAATTTTTCTATATGGATGTTAGCATCTCAGCTTGACCGACTATTTTCGGAATAACCGACCCTTTGATTTGAACGATTCGTCCTTCTCCCGCTGCTGTCTATTGTGGTGACGATATCTTAGCATTAACGCGTTTGCGATTTATTTAGGCGATACCTCTACAACGACGAAATTACCCACGATTAAATATAGTACTGATACGTACTAGCAAAAAAATATATATGGTCCACATGCTATATTGGATTTTGCCTACGAGCTAAAACTACAATATCCTAGTGTTTATTGGAAACACAAAGTATCGCCTGAATTTAATTTAACAATATATCAGTTAATTAAAATCAGAAAATAACAAACTTTACATTTGTTGCTACATTGTAAATGTATCGTATGAACGCATTAGACCTATAGCGTTCTATTTACTGTTTTTGAATAGGTGCAAAGTTTCGTTGATGGGTACGGTAGATTAATACAATTTAGATCGTTTTCAGTAGTTCTAGGACAGTGAACTACTTTTCACTGGTTCAAGCAATCCGTCGGGTTTTTTTTTTCATTGTTCAGGATGCTTTAGATTTCGTTAAGCCTACTTCAAGGTAGCGTTGCAGGTAGGTCTAGATAGAACAGATGCTATCACGTATTATATATGATGCCATTGTTCCAGGCCGTGTAGTGCTCCGCATGGCTGAAGCACATCTCGTCGAGCGCGCTGCCTGCCGGTAACTCTAAACATGCGGCTATTACTGGCTCAGACTCTAGCCTTGAT